GCCAGAGGAGTGACTGGAGTCTCTCGCAGACCCGGCGGGGAGGGAAGGCTTCCGCCAGAGGGAGCCACGCGGTGCGGGCGTCTCTCGGGGGCGTATTTAGCCGCGAGGGGGGACGAGCGAGGAAGCTACCAATAGGGGAGCGACCGCAGGGGAGGAGGAGGAGGAGGAGGAGGAGGAGGAGGAGGAGGAGGAGGAGGAAGGAGAGGAGGAGAGGAGGAAGAGGGGAGGAGGAGGAGGAGAGGGGAGGAGAGAGGAGGAGGGAGGAGGAGAGGAGGGAGGAGGAGAGGAGGGAGGAGGAGGAGGAGGATGAGGAGGAAGGAGGAGGAGGAGGAGGAGGAGGAGGAGAGGAGGAGGAGGAGAGGAGAGGAGGAGGAGAGGAGGGAGAGAGGAGGAAGGAGGAGGAGGAGGAGGAGGAGGAGGAGGCGGGAGGAGGAGGGGGGAGGAGGAGGGAGGGAGGAGGAGGAGAGGAGGAGGAGGAGGAGGGGAAGGAGGAGGCAGGAGGAGGAGAAGGAGGAGGAGGAGGAGGAGGAGGAGGAGGAGGAGGGGAAGGAGGAGGAGCAGGAGGAGGAGGAGGAGGAGGAGGAGGAGGAGACAGCGAGGTCGCGCACGAGGGCGCACCGACAAGGTTAGTGACGGCCACAAGGGGTCGACTTGAGCATGGCGCAGCGAGGACGACGGACTTGCGGAGAGGACCGCAGAGCCCAGAGCCAGCTGCGGAGCGAGGGGCAGCCAGGCGCGAGCGCGAGGGCTCGGGCGACAGGCGCAGGCCAAGGGCATACGACGCTGCGGAAAAGCTACGGCATCTGGGAACATCGCAACCCGAGGCTTGGATCCCGTCTGTCTGTGGGGTTTGTCGAGCCGGATCGATCTGTGCCGGCCAGGCGAGAGCGACCAGTGTGAAAATCACGTGCTGGGCCCGCGGATAGTTCTCAGGGGCTGCCAGCAGGCCGATGAGAGGAGCACACGGCCCACGGCCCACGGGCCCGGCAAGCAGAGGGCAACGGCACGCGAGAGCAGGGGCAGTACGCCCGGAGTGGCTGGGGAGCGGGCTCAGACGCTCAGAAACACGCTTCCGCGCAGATTGGGTGCTGCGCAGGATGAAGGAGGGAGAGTGGAAGTAGACAGGGATGAGAGGAGGAGGAGGAGGAGGAGGAGAAGGAGGAGAAGGAGGAGGAGGAGGAGGAGGAGGAGGGGGAGGGGGAGGAAAGAGGCAGGAGGCAGGAGGAGGAGGAGGAGGCGGAGGTAATCATATGGATAATAACAAAAATAATGCGACTAACAAAAATACCATTAATACGGAAATCAGCACTCGTTCAAATATTCAATAACAACGATACTACGAGTAATCATCGTAGTAGTAGTGGTCATATTATTTCTGGGGCTGGCGGGGATCATAATAATGGTAATGCTGATAATGTTCATCATCATCATAATCATCACCATCATCATCATCATCATCATCATCATCATCATCATCATCATCATCATCATCATCATCATTATCATTATCATTATCATCATCATCATTATCATTATCATCATCATCATCATCATAATGCTCATATTAATATAGACTACTATTACGTTTACACATAGCATGAGACTACGAAAACGAGTAATACGAAGAGTCGTACTAGTAGTATTTCTTGTAGGACTCGAATAGTAATGTTGTTTACCACCATTGGTACGATTACGAGCAAAAGCATGCATACCAATACGAATAAGGACATGAATGAACGTATGAATACGAGTAGTAACAGTTGTTTCAAAACTAATAGCAACAGTAGTACTTATAATAGTAATACTAAGTATCATGCTTCTTACTAATAGTATTCTCATTAGCAGGTTAACAACCATAATAACCAGAAAAACATTATGAGCAAACCTAATAATAAGAAGAAGAGGAGGATGGGGAGGAGGAGGGGGCGCTCCTGCGTTCCCGCGCTCCAGGAGCTCTTCGCCGCGCCCGTGGGCGCCCCGCCTGGAGCAGGTCACCACGCTGCTCCCCTTGCCACCCCCTCTCCCGCAGGAGGAGCAGGAGGAGGAGGAGGAGGAGGAGGAGGAGGAGGAGGAGACGCGCGGACGCGCCTCCGCCCGAGCGCTTTGATCGGGCGCCGGCGCTTTGATCGGAGCGGCTCGCCGCGCAGCGGTGGCCGCCCGCAGGGGAGAGGGGATGCGCCAGCCGGGGCCTGATACTCCTGCCCTTGCTGCGGTTGCTCCTGCCCCCCCATCATCTCTCTCTCTCTCTCTCCTCGTCGTCGTTGTCGTCGATGTCGTCGTCTTCTTTGTCTTCCTTGTTACCACTGTCGTCGTCATCCTCGTCATCATCCTCGTCATCATCGTCGTCATCATCATCGTCGTCCTCATCGTCCTCATCGTCGTCGT